GCTCGAAAAGAGTTCCGTTGATTTCACCGATGGAATGTCGCTTGTGGTGTCGCTGTTGTACGATGGTTATTGCTTTATTGCCGAGAGGACTCCCGCGAGGAGTGTAGCAGTGAAACACTCCATCCCCGTTTGTAGCCACGTTCGAGAAAATCATCCCATAGTCAGCTCCGTCGTCACCCTCCTTGATTTCAGGAGTCAGGGCCCCAACTTGCGGGTCTTCGAATACCGTCCCGGGGATCTCGCCAAACAAAGCGTGGCTGCGACTCCGCTGAATCGAAACTTTTGCGTAAATTTGCCCAATCGAGTGCAAACATGCGGAATGAGGAATAAGATTTAAGTTGCCCGCCCCCCAAGCTGGAGAAAAAACGTCGCGCTGGTTGGGACCGATAGTAGCAGCATCCGAGTTCGAACCATCGAAATTCGGACCGTTGGGGTGACCCCATGATTCAGTGAGGGGCGAACACGGTCTCCGGCCCAACGCACCACTCCGCGGGGTCGAAGCGCCACGCCAACCGCGCCCCGCGGATGTGTCCGCAATGGGCGGTCGATTGAGGGAGTTGGATGCGCTAGCGGCTTTCCCGGCGCAGCTTCCGTTGCTCCAGAAAGAGGAGTTATTTGACGTGGTGAGAGGCGGGGATTTCGGCGGAAAGCTTTCCCTGGAACCGCTATACGACACGCGCCGCGGGCGCCGCGACGGGAGAACCATCGTGGGAACGTTGTTGCCATCTGGCGAGCCGGAATTGCCAAAATCCCCCTTCACCCTGAACGAGTCGCTTCCCTGATCCGAGTCGGCGAGGTTCTTGACCGTCGCGGTGGCAAAGTCGAAATCCGCCGTGGATCGCGGAGAGACGAGCGTGAGGCGCTCGAATGCGGCGCCATCGAGCTTTTCCGTCGGCGATGGAGAGAAATTGCCCGCTCCGCTCGCCGCTGCGGCGCGATCAGCCGCCGCCGCCGCCGCGGGAGTGATTCCTGCCGCACTGTCCGAAGCGTCAACTTGAAGCACATTCGTCTTCTTCGACGTAACGGGGTCTTCGATCATCTCACGCATCGGCTCACAGCCGTCAACGAGACGTTCGACTTGCAGCTGGCGGCGCGACTGCCGCGACTCGGTGTCGACGTCACGCAGTTGCGGCGCCGCCGCGCCGCCGACTGCGATAGGCTGAGCGTCGTCGTCTAGCGTCATCTCCGGCGCGTCAGCGTCGGGGATATGAAGCGGAGTGATTAGCAACCGTTCCGCAAATTGCGCAGCTTTCCAGCTGCTCAATGGAGCAGGGAGGTCATTAGAAGACGTCGGCTCGCCAGCGATTGTAGTCATTGTGGGTGGGCAAAAATATCGTGACGATACAGCGCAGCTCCGAGCGGTTGTCGCCATATTAGTACTACTCGTAGGATATGATTGTTAGCCCACGTAGTCAGGCCGCGATGCGTCGTCGTGACTGAAGCTCGACTCAGGCTGAAGAAACGCGGAGTAGGCTTGGAGAGAGGAAGGAGCAAGCCATAAAACACCACACGCGTTTGATGCAGTGATGTTGGACATGCAATTTGAACTGACGAGGTTGGGGTGGGAGAGGCATCGTTAAAGCCGGCGGCCCAAATTGTTCATGCTTTTAAAAGTTGACCAGAGGGAGTTTTTCTGGTGTGGGCTTTGGCGAGAGTTTCCGATTTCGTCTAGGTTCGTTTTTTTCGCGAGACCCAGCCAGCCCTCGGTTTTCCCCCTGGTGAGTGAATCTGTCTTCGGAAGTCCCAAATTGCAAGTGCGTGACTTTCAAAAGCTTGGACACTCAACTTCATCAAGTTTAAAAAACTTGACCCTCGCGGCCCGCAATTTGTGACGCGGGCTTTAAGGTCCCAACTTTATGAGCGGTTACAAACGTTGCTTCTATGGATCGCTGTGTTTCTGCAAGTTACAGTATGTTGTAGTGTGGTGAACTTGCGGTCTAGTGCAATTCGAAGGGATGTTTTGGGACGCCCAACATGCGTGTATGCATACAGTCGCGTGGAAGCTGCGCTCTGGGAGGGGAGAGCGGAAGATGTTTTTTTGTGGGCACCCGTCCTGGGGCTTGCGTTGCATGGTACCCCCTTCATGGGGGTACCAGACGAGGGGCTGCTGGTGGCGATGTGGTTCATCCTTCTAGCTTTGTATTGGCAGATGAACTAATGGGTTGCTGCCAACCCATTTGGAGATCTACCGCCGCTCAAAACCAGCAATTTGGACTGGGTTGCGAAAGCCATAATTTCATTCAGATGAGTTGGAAATGTGGATTTTTGTTCCTAATTTAGCGCACGATGCAGCAGCATTTACGACAACACCATCTCAGTTGGATCTCTCGACCCAACCCCATGTACTGTCTCTATCCCGAAAACTTGTGAAACCAGAATCCAGATTCATTTTCTTTATGACACTGCTTCATTTTGCGATAAGGGAAAATGTGCCTCAAAATGACAGACTGGCGCCAGCTACACAAACAGTCGACTTTCCGTCTCGTTCCGAAGCGCGGCTTTGAGAATGTGAACCCTTCATGAACGTTAAGGGAGAAAGTCTATCACAACCATAATTTTTCGTCGTTAAGCTTTGTCAATTCAAGTAAGTTGCGGATAAGCAATTTATACTAGTTTCACAAGCCAATTTGCATGCCAAATCCTGGATCTGGCGAATTAGATTAGGGTTTTCGAGGCAGTGGAAGCAGTTTTAGGCTGGCGGAAATCTGGCATGTGACACGATTAGCTACTTCACCTATATAATAGGGTTCACAAAGTGATCTGCTTGTCTCAAGGCATCTGTCAAGTTCCTCTTTTGTCCAATCAGGGACAAGGCGTTCTTCACGGCTGTTACTGTAGCAGTGGTGGCATGGTGGTCCCTGACTTGAAACGACAATCGTCTAGTGCCAGTCAGGGAACCCCTTGTGCTGACTTCCACCTTGTGCCTCCAAGATCGCCTGCTCTCAAGCTGGCCTGTTAGTTCATATCCTGGCCGGTTCCTAATGTAGAGTTGATAATATATAGTATATATAACTCTGTATCTGTATAAGTTTCAATGAAAACTTTAGCGAGAACATTTACACGATTTGAGTTGCTTTTATATTTTAATGATTTACAGAAAGTGTACCCGATTTCGTTTTTTACTAAAAATGGATACCCTGTATATTGTACCCTTAGATGTATAATAAACTGTGTCTTATCGATCACCTGTTTTAAAGAGATCAGCCATATCGGCGCATGGCACACAGGATGAAAGTTCATTGATGACTAGGCACACTACAGCAATTCCCATGGTTAGGTGTGGTGAGGTGGAAAGCTTCCCGCTTTTCCAGTCTGCCACGCCAGCCCTGGCGTATGGATCTCAAGCGTCTCCTCCTCATGAGAGCTCCTTGGATAATAGTCTGCCTTCGATTCCTACGTGGCGTAGCGGCACTGGAGGCAGAGGGGCATATGTGGTCCCGCTGCAGGACAGCGCATGGGCACAATGGACTTTCAAATGTTGCTGTGGGTGAGCGAGAGGCGAGTTCACGCGACGCCTGAAACGAGAGGCGGGAGAAGGCCAAGGGTGTGTGATTCTTGCTGTGCCCTTACCACATCGATTACTGATTAGACAAATTCGTTGGCTCCTAGGGTTGTCCAGAGGTTGGAATTTCCAAACCCAGCCAGACCAAATCCATCTCAAACGAGATAAGACCAACCCGACCACATCAGACCATTTTCGGCTTCAATGCTGGTGGTTTCAGCCAGCACTACATGCAACTCTGGTGTATTAGGCTTTTTGTTTGTCCAAGCCAAAACTATCCCAGAGTCCAGAAGTTGTGTGCTAGGGCTGTGCTAGTCTGCTTGCGTTTCGCAGCCGCATTGTTCAAAGCAGTCACTTCCTAGCATTGGCTCGTCCCTTTCAAATACCACTCGTGACATACTAAGGTCTAAACTCTAGATCAGAGGTAGCGTCGGTACAGACCTATCGAAGGTCACGTGACACTGGATCGTGAAAAGGCGTTTCTCACCAAAAACGTCCGACCATCCTCAGTTGAAACAGTGACCCGCTGAAATAACGGAACCAAGTCGATTTCCTATTGGCCGAAGTCTAAAGTAGGACTGAATGGCGTACCATTCTGTGCTCCTAGGAGCGAAGGCCTTTTCGATTTCCTCTGGAATCACAGCTCAATACCAGCCACTACATAATGAAGTAGCTGTACGAGACTCCTGCTCCGGGCAAGCTCCTGGCTTGCGAATGGTCAAGGGAACCTCGTTTTTTGGATCATCTCCGAGACAAAAGGTCTCAGTTGTTTCAGGTATAGTACCCCGGCCTTTTGCTGATGTTGTCTGAAACGACGCGATCAATGAAATGAATGTGAATGTAAGGATGTGCGCTATCCACTGACGAACGAGTCAATCTAATGAAGTGCCTAACGAACCTGGCATTGTTTTTTCCCTCACACCAGGAAGGATGAATGCTGCAGGTGGGAGATGCAGAGCAGCAGCGGATACCAGGCAGGAGACAGCAGCGGAGGATCCGGAAAGGGAGGAATTAAGAAAGTTTGAGAAGGCTCTGCTTGAAAAGAAGTCTAACGAGCTCGCGGATAGAATCGCCAGTGGAGAGTTCACAGTGGCTTCCAGAAGGTAACCACATAATAGCTGATTTGAGTTTACCAAAAAAAATTCATTGACGTTATGATAGAAGATAACGACAATGCAGTTGACTTATTTTGGGTTTTGTAGCACCGGCGATCTAGTCGGCAACGGGGAGTTAACGCTAGCATTGAAAAAGCAACCGGCATGCCAGGTGGCTGGTCCTTCTGTTCTGAACGGGCTTGTCGAGTTCGCGCTGAGGGAGGCACCTCAGGAACTTAATGGGACTTAACGGACGAGCCTGCGTAGTTCGCTCAGATAAAATAAGCGCGATGCTACCTCTTTTTTTAGCTTGCTCTTCTTCCTCTCTGTCCAGTCCATCCCCGTCTTCCTATGTACGCTAACGCTTCCTTTCCACGGTCACCGTACCCCTCGCCTAATTGCAGAGTGGATCGGTTCGGCTGGTTGCGTCGATGCTTGGCGAACTCGGGCCCGGCAGGAAGGCCGTTGGCCATGTTTATGGCTACCATGGAACGCAGATGGCGGGCGATAGTGAACGCTAGCATGCCGGAAGCTCGCGGAGACATACGCGCTATAATCGGGCAGCCGTTTTTTGTCCCGCTTTTCAGCCTTTACCTTGTCTACGGCGGGGTGTTTCGCCTGTCATTTGGACCAAAGGTTGGTTTCCTTGCCTGTGATCTTGGATATCGTTTCTGTGTGGATGAGGAATCCGGTGTGGTCTGCTGGTTCGCTTATAATTGCCTGATCACTGCTCCTTTGTGGTCGTTTTCCTGTTTTGCAGAGGTTTGTGATTGTATCGGATCCTGTTGTGGCGAAGCACATTCTGCGGGACAACGCGAAGTCGTACTCTAAGGTAAGCACTTGTTGCAATGTTCACTTCCTCCGGCCCTGACGTAAATTTTTTCCTTTGTATCCCATAGGTGCGTGAGGAGAAATTCGGGCATTTTGAGGCGTAACATTCGTTTGCTGGGCCACTTTGTGTGCGGCACAGAGATCCTATTTGAACTATTATTTTAAGCCTCTAAAAACAGGAACATTCTCACTCACTGTCAATGGCTCCTCATCTATTCTCTGGGGCAATTTGTGTGGGGCGCAGGGAATTCTGTCTGAGATTCTCGACTTCGTGATGGGACAAGGCCTCATTCCCGCTGATGGCGAGGTGTGGCTCACTCGACGCCGCACCGTTGCCCCTGCGCTGCACAGAAAGGTGAGAGAACTGTACGGGAAGGTAACCAAAAAGACTGCACAGAAAGTTAAGGGAAGGGCACAGAAAAGTAAAGCAACTGCACAGAAAGGTGTGAAGAACGTGTTAGATATGCATAGAAGGGTAACTTGCACAGAAAGGCTTGAAATGTACACAGCAAGGGAATTTGCACTAAATGTCTACGCGCCCATCTTTCCACTCTCCTCCCCTCCCCATGTTAATCTCCGCCCTCCCCACTTCACCCCACCCTCTCCTTCCCCTTCCCTCTCCCCCAGTACGTGAGCGCCATGGTGTCGCTGTGTGGCGAGTGCTCGCAGCGGCTGTGCGACAAGCTGGAGAGAGCAGCAGACAAGGGGCAGGTGGTGGAAATGGAATCACCACCGCTCCCAACTCCCCACATTTCCTCCTGCATCTCTCCCAACCTCCCGTTTTCCCTCCCCCAGTACGTGAGCGCCATGGTGTCGTTATTCGGTGAGTGCTCGCAGCGCCTGTGCGACAAGCTGGAGAGAGCAGCAGACAAGGGGCACGTGGTGGAGATGGAGTCCCTCTTCTCACGCATGACCCTGGATGTGATCGGCAAGGCCGTGTTCAACTACGAGTTCAACTCGCTCCAAAAAGACACGGGGATCGTGGAGGTGAGCCGCGTGTGCATGTACAAGTGCCAGAGAGGCATAGACTTCTAAGCGACTCAAAAGTCACCTCGTGGTGTACATGCATGTACTCGGGCCAGAGAGACAGAGACGTGGGGCCCTGAAACCGTGAGTTTGAAGCGAAGAGGCAGAGTTGTGGTTTGGTTTGTTCTTTTCTTGCATCACCCTCCCTTTTCCCCCTCCTTGCCCCCCCCCCCCCCCCCACCATCTCCATCCAGGCGGTGTACGTGACTCTAAGGGAGGCGGAGGTGCGGAGCACGTCGCTGTTCCCCTACTGGAAGATCCCCCCCCTGCGAGTGGTCATGCCCAGCCAGCGCAAGGTCTCAGACGCCCTCACGCTCATCAACAGCACTCTCAACGCACTCATTGCCGAATGCAAGGTGAGTAACTTTCTGCAGGAGCAGCAGACACTGTAACCCAGTAGCTGCATCGCATGCAGCGAGTGGTGGTGCCCAGCCAGCGGAAAGTCTCAGACGCCCTCACGTTCATCAACGGCACTCTCAACGCACTCATCGCCGAATGCAAGGTGGGTAGGTGGATGCAAGGCAAGCAGCAGGCCTATGGTAAGGCCATGGATGCATTGCATGCTCATACTTCCGCTCACGCTCATGCTCATGCACATGCACAATGCTGCGAGTGGTCATGCCCAGCCAGCGCAAGGTGTCAGACGCCCTCATCAATGGCACATTGAATGCGCGCATTGCTGAATGAAGGCGAGAGAACAGGTCTTTGTCCGAAGCAGCAGGCCTGTGGTTAGGCCTGCATTGCATGCTCATGCTCATGCAGATTCTGATTCTGATGCTGATGCTGATGCTGATGCTGATGCTGATTTTGATGATGATGATGATGATGATGATGATGATGATGATGATGATGATGATGATGATGATGATGATGATGATGATGATGATGATGATGATGATGATGATGATGATGATGATGATGATGATGATGATGATGATGATGATGATGATGATGATGATGATGATGATGATGATGCTGATGCTGATGCTGATGCTGATGCTGATGCTGATGCTGATGCTGATGCTGATGCTGATGCTGATGATGATGATGATGATGATGATGATGATGATGATGATGATGATGATGATGATGATGATGATGATGATGATGATGATGATGATGATGATGATGATGATGATGATGATGATGATGATGATGATGATGATGATGCTGATGATGATGCTGATGCTGATGCTGATGCTGATGCTGATGCTGATGATGATGCTGATGCTGATGCTGATGCTGATGCTGATGCTGATGCTGATGCTGATGCTGATGCTGATACTGATACTGATGCTTATGCTTATGCTTATGCTTATGCTTATGCTTATGCTTATGCTTATGCTTATGCTTATGCTTATGCTTATGCTTATGCTTATGCTTATGCTTATGCTTATGCTTATGCTTATGCTGATACTGATGCTGATGCTGATGCTGATGCTGATGCTGATGCTGATGCTTATTCTGATGCTGATGCTGATGCTGATGCTGATGCTGATTCTGACTCCGATGCTGATGCTGATTCTGATCCTGATCCTGATCCTGAGGCTGATGCTGATGCTGATGCTGATGCTGATGCTGATTCTGACTCCGATGCTGATGCTGATTCTGATCCTGATCCTGATCCTGAGGCTGATGCTGATGCTGATGCTGATGTTGATGCTGATGTTGATTCTGATGCTGATGCTGATGCTGATGCTGATGCTGATTCTGATCCTGATCCTGATCCTGATCCTGAGGCTGATGCTGATGCTGATGCTGATGCTGATGTTGATGCCGATGCGGATTCTGATTCTGATGCTGATGCTGATTCTGATTCTGATTCTGATGCTGATGCTGATGCTGATGCTGATGTTGATGCTGATGTTGATTCTGATTCTGATGCTGATCCTGATGCTGATGCTGATGCCGATTCTGATTCTGATTCTGATGCTGATGCTGATTCATGCATGTGTCCTCTCATTCCCCTCCTCTCCTCCCTCTCCTCGTCTCCCTGCTCCCTGTCTATGCATGAGCAGCAAATGGTGGAAGCAGAGGAGGAGGAGTTTTTCGAGGAGTATTTGAACAAGGAGGACCCCAGCATCCTGCATTTCCTGGTTGCTTCCGGGGATGACGTCACGAGCAAGCAGCTGAGGGACGACCTGATGACGATGCTCATCGCAGGGCACGAGACGTCTGCTGCTGTGCTCACATGGGCGTTTTATCTACTAGCTCAGGTGAGTGAGTGTGAGAGGGTGATGTAGGCCCAGCATGGTTAGAGCAATCAGTTAAGGCAGCTGTGGGTTGTTGTGGTACCTGTGGTGATTGCGGGACATGAGAGATCAGCTGTGGTGCTCACATCACATGGGTGTTCCATCGCCTAGCGCAGGTCGGTGTGAAATGGATATGTAAGGCCCATGTGGTCAGAGTAAGCAGCTGATGGTTGTTTTGGTGACCCTATGGTGACTGGGGAAGCTGCAGGCGGAGGTCAATTCAGTCCTCCGCCCCTGTCAACTCTCCCTTGTGCAGATCCCAGCAGCCATGACCGAGCTCCAGGCGGAGGTGGACTCAGTGCTGGGGGACAGGCAGCCTATCACCTCCTGACAACTCCCGCCCCCCCCATCCTCTCCCTCCCTTGTGTGACCACAGAACCCTTCAGCCATGGCAAAGCTCCAGGCAGAGGTGGACTCAGCCCTGGGCGACAGGCAGAGGTGGACTCAGCCCTGGGCGACAGGCAGCCCAGCATCGAGGATTTCAAAGAGCTCACAGCCCCTGACTCCTCCCCTACCCTGTCAACCTGCTCTTTTGCAGAATCCTTCAGCAATGGCGAAACTGCAAGCAGAGGTGGACGCAGTGCTGGGCGACAGGCAGCCCAGCATCGAGGACTTCAAGAAGCTGCGCTTCACCACGAGGGTGATCAACGAGGCCATGCGCCTCTACCCCCAGCCACCCGTGCTCATCAGACGTGCTCTTGAAGACGATGTGTTGGGAGGATACCCCATCAAAGAGTGAGTCTCACTATAGATGGCCCTTGATTGCTGCTCTATGGTTCACCACGAGGGTGATCAGCGAGGCCTTGCGCCTCTACCCCCCAGCCGCCCGTGCTCATTCGGCGGGCGCTAGAAGACGATGTGCTGGGAGGATACCCCATAAAGGAGTTTTTTTCTAATTCATTGGGGCGGTCCCAAGGGCCAAGTTAAGCTGTGATGAGGTTCAAGTCCTTCCCCATGCTGTCCTCCCGTGCTCTCTCGTCCCTTCCTTCCATTCCTCACCCCACTTCCCACTCCCTCTTCCCTCTCCTCTCGTGTAGAGAGGTCATTTTTGAGACGTCTCAAAAGTTTCTTCCATTCCTCATCCCACTTCACACTCCCTCTTCCCTCTCCCCTCGTCCCTCTCTCCATTCGATCAGTGGTCAGGGCATTTTCATCTCCGTGTAGAACCTCCATCACAGCCCCAAGCTCTGGCAGGACCCGCCCTTCCAACACGTCCTTCTTTGCCCTTCCACTCCCCTCTCCCCGCTCTCCTCTCCCTTCCCTCCTACCCCACCATCACCAGAGACATTTTCATCTCGGTGAGAAACCTCCATCACCTCCCCAAGCTCTGGCAGGACGCAGAGGCCTTCCCCCACTCCTGCTCACTCCTCTCATACTGTCCCCCTTACTTACCACCACCAGGGGTCAGGACATTTTCATCTCCGTGTGGAACCTCCACCACAGCCCCGGGCTCTGGCAGGATGCAGAGGCCTTCCACCATTCTCCCCTGCTCACTCTCCTTGCTCGCATGGTTACTCTCCTTGCTCGCATGGTTACTCTCCTTGCTCGCATGGTTACTCTCCTTGCTCTTATTCTCCCCACCACCACCAGGGGTCAGGACATATTCATCTCCGTGTGGAACCTCCACCACAGCCCCGAGCTCTGGCAGGACGCAGAGGCCTTCCGGCCCGAGAGGTGGCCGCTTGACGGGCCCGACCCCACCGAAGTCACCGAGAACTTCAGGTGAGGCGCGTACCTCGGTGCTAGGGGCGCTTCTTTAGCATGATGCAGAGGATTTCATGCAAGTTTCATCATTAGAGGTGGCCGCTTGACGGGCCCAACCCCACCGAGGTCACCGAGAACGTCAGGTGGGGCCATTGGGTGGTTCCTAACAATAAATGCAAATGGAAAGTTGTGCAAGCTAGAGTGACAATAGGTGGCTGCTTGACGGCCCAGACCCCCACCGAGGTCACAGAGAAATTCAGGTGAGTTTTCTCTGTCCGCACAACCCTGTTTCGGCAGATACAAGGGACCCTAAAACTGTCCGCACAACCCCGTTATTGATCCCATCAGGTACCTTCCTTTTGGCGGTGGCCAGCGCAAGTACATAGGGGAAGTGTTTGGCACGTTCGAAGTCACCGCCCCTCACCTCCCCCTCCATCTTCCCCCTCATCTCACAGCTACCTTCCGTTTGGCGGGGGTCAGCGCAAGTGCATAGGAGACGTGTTTGCCACGTTTGAAGTCACCACAGCTGTGGCTATGCTGGCCCGGCGGTTCGACTTCAACCTTGCCCCTGGCGCTGAGGAAGTGAGTGATTGGGAGCAGATTCAAGTTAATGATTGAATGTGAGGGGAGAGAGGCGAGTGGCACAGCAGTGGTCATGCTGGCCCGGCGCTTCGACTTCAGCCTTGCACCTGGTGCTGAGTTGAGTGATTTAAAACAGATTCAAGTTAATGAGAGTATGTGAGAGCATGTGATGTGAAGAACCCGGCAAGGTGAGCACGTGATGTGTAGAACTTGGGCAACGTGAGCATGAAGGCTGGTAACCTAGTCCGGCTGTGGCAATGCTGGCCCGACTGTTCGACTTCTGCCTGGCCCCTGTGCTGAAGAGGCGAGGGATTGAGAAGAAAGTCAAGTATGTGTGCACTCCTCGCTTCACCATGGCACCGGTCCCAGAATTTGCAGACACATCGCTTCAAGCACCCTCTTCCCCCCTCCTTGCCTCCACCATCAACCCCATCCCCTGTCCCTGCTGTGCTGTTGATGTGTCAGGTGGGCATGACAACGGGAGCCACCATCCACACCACCAATGGCCTTCTCATGACTGTCTCCCGCAGAACCCCCCCACCTGCTCAGCCTGTGCCCTCCAATGGTGCTGCTGCTGCTGCTGTTGCTTCAGAAGCTGCTGCTGCTGGTGCTGCTGTTCCCGAGGTTCCTGCTGTGGTCGCGGCCAATGGTGACATGCCAGGCGGGGCAGTGGCAGCATGAGGTGCAAGGTGCTGCTGAGAGCACTACGGCAGCCAAAGTCACTGTTTACAACAATTGTACGGGGAGGGAACTCGTGTACTGCTCATAGCAAACACAGTACATTTATTGTGCTGTAGTGCTTTGCATATTCTTTGCTTGAATGATTACTCAACAAGCACTCTTCCTTCCTTCATTGCATAAATTGCTGTAGTTCAGGTTAACTGTAGATGTTGGGTGTTCCACTATGTTAGAGTGAACAAGGCTCGATGTCTACGTCGGAAGCGTTCCGTAGAGTTGTTTCTAGTGGTATAAGAAACATGTGAAATAAGATTACATATTATACTAATGGAGAAAGCATATTAGAGAAAAATATAATTAAGTACATGTTTGTACGCTTGTCTAGTATTAAAAGGTAACGATTCGGACGGTGATGATATTTTTTATTATAATAAACAATATTTTTTAGCTCCATCTTACTATACTGCACCATCCAATTACTATAGTGGGTTCGTTGTTTTCAGCTGTAGTTTGATAACGTAGTTATGCGTGTGTTTTAAGTGACACAGCTTTCAAATTAGTATCTTGCTCATATTTCTACATATACACCTCAATGAATTATTGTCCATGCCAAGTTGTTTATTCTGCCCTAACAATACAATCACCTGAACAATGTGAATCGCATCTGCCCCATACATTACACACTATTCTAACGAGAAACAACTGTATTTTTTCCTTTCACACTTCTCAGCTCCAATTTGACGCTCCTCTCTTCTTGGTTCTTGGTTCTTGATTTTGGTTCTTGGTGAGTTCTTGGTTCTTGGTTCTTGTGACTACCTAGCTATCCCGTTTTCTCCAATCCCAGTATCCTCTCCCTTCCATCCCGCCAGCGCCTCTCCCTCCTCCCAGCCGCCGTCGCCTCTCCCTCCCATCCCGCCATGGCCTCTCCATCCCGCCCCGTCATAGCCGCTCCCTTCCTCCTCGCCGTCGCCTCTCCCTCCCTTCCCGTCGTCGCCTCTGGTGGGTGCACGAGCGTGAGCGCGTGTTGCTGAACGACCTCGCGTTGTTTTCACCGTTGTCTCAGGTGCGTAGACGTTTCTCGGACCTTTTTACCTCCCTCCTTTGCTTAGGTTTTCTACTTTCTTCGTGAGTTCTCTATGCCAAGATTTCTTAGCATTACACTCCCATTGCTCTCCTCTTTGGTCGCCTAATGCGCTCGCGCCTCGCGCGCTGGCGCCTAACGCGCTGGCGCCTAGCGCGCTGGCGCCTAAGGCCCTGGCGCCTAAGGCGCTGGCGCCTAGCGCGCTGGCGCCTAGCGCGCTGGCGCCTAGCGCGCTGGCGTCTAACGCGCTGGCGCCTAGCGCGCTGGCGCCTAGCGCGCTGGCGCCTAGCGCGCTGGCGCCTAGCGCGCTGGCGCCTAGCGCGCTAGCGCCTAGCGCCTGGCGCCTAAGGCGCTGGCGCCTTGTGCTCTGGCGTCTAGCGCGCTGGCGCCTAGCGCGCTGGCGCCTAGCGCGCTGGCGCCTAGCGGCTGGCGCCTAACGCGCTGGCGCCTAACGCGCTGGCGCCTAGCGCGCTGGCGCGTATGGCGCTGGCGCCTAGCGCGCTGGCGCCTAGCGCGCTGGCGCGTATGGCGCAGGCGCCTAGCGCGCTGGCGCCTAGCGCGCTGGCGCCTAGCGCGCTGGCGCCTAGCGCGCTGGCGTGTAACGCGCTGGCGCCTAGCGCGCTGGCGCCTAAAGCGCTGGCGCCTTGTGCTCTGGCGTCTAGCGCGCTGGCGCCTAGCGCGCTGGCGCCTAGCGCGCTGGCGCCTAGCGGCTGGCGCCTAACGCGCTGGCGCCTAAGGCGCTGGCGCCTAGCGCGCTGGCGCGTATGGCGCTGGCGCGTATGGCGCTGGCGCCTAGCGCGCTGGCGCCTATCGCGCTGGCGCCTAGCGCGCTGGCGTGTAACGCGCTGGCGCCTATCGCACTGGCGCCTAGCGCGCTGGCTTCTAAGGCGCTGGCGCCTAGCGCGCTGGTGCCTAGCGCGCTGGCGCCTAGCGCGCTGGCGCCTAATGCGCTGGCGATTAGCGCGCTGGCACCTTGAAGCGTGCCGCGCGCTGATGGCTTGTGCGCTGCTTGTTGCGGCAGTGCGCTGGCGAATTCCTGCAGCGGCCTTGCAGCGCTGCGCGCTGGCAAATTATTGCGCACGCCTTGCTCCATTGAGCTCACGCCTTGCTGCAGTGAGCTCACGCGTTGCTGCAGTGAGCTCACGCCTTGCTGCAGTGAGCTCACGCCTTGCTGCAGTGAGCTCACGCGTTGCTGCAGTGAGCTCACGCCTTGCTGCAGTGAGCTCAGGCCTTGCTGCAGTGAGCTCAGGCCTTGCTGCAGTGAGCTCACGCCTTTCTGCTGTGAGCTCAGGCCTTGCTGCAGTGAGCTCACGCCTTGCTGCAGTGAGCTCACGGGTTGCTGCAGTGAGCTCACGCCTTGGTGCAGTGAGCTCACGCGTTGCTGCAGTGAGCTCACGCCTTGCTGCAGTGAGCTCATGCCTTGCTGCAGTGAGCTCACGCGTTGCTGCAGTGAGCACACGCCTTGCTGCAGTGAGCTCACGCCTTGCTGCAGTGAGCTCACGCCTTGCTGCAGTGAGCTCACGCCTTGCTGCAGTGAGCTCAGGCCTTGCTGCACTGAGCTCAGGCCTTGCTGCAGTGAGCTCAGGCCTTGCTGCAGTGAGCTCAGGCCTTGCTGCAGTGAGCTCACGCCTTGCTGCAGTGAGCTCACGCCTTGCTGCAGTGAGCTCACGGGTTGCTGCAGTGAGCTCACGCCTTGCTGCAGTGAGCTCACGCCTTGCTGCAGTGAGCTCACGCCTTGCTGCAGTGAGCTCACGCCTTGCTGCAGTGAGCTCACGCCTTGCTGCAGTGAGCTCACGCGTTGCTGCAGTGAGCTCACGCGTTGCTGCGGTGAGCTCACGCGTTGCTGCAGTGAGCTCACGCGTTGCTGCAGTGAGCTCACGCGTCGCTGCAGTGAGCTCACGCGTTGCTGCAGTGAGCTCACGCCTTGCTGCAGTGAGCTCACGCCTTGCTGCAGTGAGCTCACGCCTTGCTGCAGTGAGCTCAGGCCTTGCTGCAGTGAGCTCAGGCCTTGCTGCAGTGAGCTCACGCCTTGCTGCTGTGAGCTCAGGCCTTGCTGCAGTGAGCTCACGCCTTGCTGCAGTGAGCTCACGCGTTGCTGCAGTGAGCTCACGTGTTGCTGCAGTGAGCTCACGCCTTGCTGCAGTGAGCTCACGCCTTGCTGCAGTGAGCTCACGCCTTGCTGCACTGAGCTCACGCCTTGCTGCAGTGAGCTCACGCCTTGCTGCAGTGAGCTCAGGCCTTGCTGCAGTGAGCTCACGCCTTGCTGCAGTGAGCTCACGCCTTGCTGCAGTGAGCTCACGCCTTGTTGCAGTCAGCTAACGCCTTGCTGCAGTCAGCTCACGCCTTGCTGCAGTGAGGTCACGCCTTGCTGCAGTGAGCTCACGCCTTGCTGCAGTGAGCTCAGGCCTTGCTGCAGTGAGCTCACGCCTTGCTGCTGTGAGCTCAGGCCTTGCTGCAGTGAGCTCACGCCTTGCTGCAGTGAGCTCACGCGTTGCTGCAGTGAGCTCACGTGTTGCTGCAGTGAGCTCACGCCTTGCTGCAGTGAGCTCACGCGTTGCTGCAGTGAGCTCACTCCTTGCTGCAGTGAGCTCACGCCTTGCTGCAGTGAGCTCACGCCTTGCTGCAGTGAGCTCAGGCCTTGCTGCAGTGAGCTCACGCCTTGCTGAAGTGAGCTCACGCCTTGCTGCAGTGAGCTCACGCCTTGCTGCAGTCAGCTAACGCCTTGCTGCAGTCAGCTCACGCCTTGCTGCAGTGAGGTCACGCCTTGCTGCAGTGAGCTCACGCCTTGCTGCAGTGAGCTCAGGCCTTGCTGCAGTGAGCTCATGCGTTGCTGCAGTGAGCTCACGCCTTGCCGCAGTGAGCTCAGGCCTTGCTGCAGTGAGCTCACGCCTTGCTGCAATGAGCTCGCGCCTTGCTGCAGTGCGCTCGCGCGTTGCTGCAGTGAGCTCACGTGTTGCTGCAGTGAGCTCACGCGTTGCTGCGGTGAGCTCACGCGTTGCTGCAGTGAGCTCACGCGTTGCTGCAATGAGCTCACGCGTTGCTGCAGTGAGCTCACGCGTTGCTGCAGTGAGCTCACGCCTTGCTGCAGTGAGCTCATGCCTTGCTGCAGTGAGCTCACGCGTTGCTGCAGTGAGCACACGCCTTGCTGCAGTGAGCTCACGCCTTGCTGCAGTGAGCTCACGCCTTGCTGCAGTGAGCTCACGCCTTGCTGCAGTGAGCTCAGGCCTTGCTGCAGTGAGCTCAGGCCTTGCTGCAGTGAGCTCACGCCTTGCTGCTGTGAGCTCAGGCCTTGCTGCAGTGAGCTCACGCCTTGCTGCAGTGAGCTCACGCGTTGCTGCAGTGAGCTCACGTGTTGCTGCAGTGAGCTCACGCCTTGCTGCAGTGAGCTCACGCCTTGCTGCAGTGAGCTCACGCCTTGCTGCAGTGAGCTCACGCCTTGCTGCAGTGAGCTCAGGCCTTGCTGCAGTGAGCTCAGGCCTTGCTGCAGTGAGCTCACGCCTTTCTGCTGTGAGCTCAGGCCTTGCTGCAGTGAGCTCAGGCCTTGCTGCAGTGAGCTCAGGCCTTGCTGCAGTGAGCTCACGCCTTGCTGCTGTGAGCTCAGGCCTTGCTGCAGTGAGCTCACGCCTTGCTGCAGTGAGCTCACGCGTTGCTGCAGTGAGCTCACGTGTTGCTGCAGTGAGCTCACGCCTTGCTGCAGTGAGCTCACGCCTTGCTGCAGTGAGCTCACGCCTTGCTGCAGTGAGCTCACGCCTTGCTGCAGTGAGCTCACGCCTTGCTGCAGTGAGCTCAGGCCTTGCTGCAGTGAGCTCACGCCTTGCTGCAGTGAGCTCACGCCTTGCTGCAGTGAGCTCACGGGTTGCTGCAGTGAGCTCACGCCTTGCTGCAGTGAGCTCACGCCTTGCTGCAGTGAGCTCACGCCTTGCTGCAGTGAGCTCACGCCTTGCTGCAGTGAGCTCACGCCTTGCTGCAGTGAGCTCACGCGTTGCTGCAGTGAGCTCACGCGTTGCTGCGGTGAGCTCACGCGTTGCTGCAGTGAGCTCACGCGTTGCTGCAGTGAGCTCACGCGTCGCTGCAGTGAGCTCACGCGTTGCTGCAGTGAGCTCACGCCTTGCTGCAGTGAGCTCACGCCTTGCTGCAGTGAGCTCACGCCTTGCTGCAGTGAGCTCAGGCCTTGCTGCAGTGAGCTCAGGCCTTGCTGCAGTGAGCTCACGCCTTGCTGCTGTGAGCTCAGGCCTTGCTGCAGTGAGCTCACGCCTTGCTGCAGTGAGCTCACGCGTTGCTGCAGTGAGCTCACGTGTTGCTGCAGTGAGCTCACGCCTTGCTGCAGTGAGCTCACGCCTTGCTGCAGTGAGCTCACGCCTTGCTGCAGTGAGCTCACGCCTTGCTGCAGTGAGCTCACGCCTTGCTGCAGTGAGCTCAGGCCTTGCTGCAGTGAGCTCACGCCTTGCTGCAGTGAGCTCACGCCTTGCTGCAGTGAGCTCACGCCTTGTTGCAGTCAGCTAACGCCTTGCTGCAGTCAGCTCACGCCTTGCTGCAGTGAGGTCACGCCTTGCTGCAGTGAGCTCACGCCTTGCTGCAGTGAGCTCAGGCCTTGCTGCAGTGAGCTCACGCCTTGCTGCTGTGAGCTCAGGCCTTGCTGCAGTGAGCTCACGCCTTGCTGCAGTGAGCTCACGCGTTGCTGCAGTGAGCTCACGTGTTGCTGCAGTGAGCTCACGCCTTGCTGCAGTGAGCTCACGCGTTGCTGCAGTGAGCTCACGCCTTGCTGCAGTGAGCTCACGCCTTGCTGCAGTGAGCTCACGCCTTGCTGCAGTGAGCTCAGGCCTTGCTGCAGTGAGCTCACGCCTTGCTGCAGTGAGCTCACGCCTTGCTGCAGTGAGCTCACGCCTTGCTGCAGTCAGCTAACGCCTTGCTGCAGTCAGCTCACGCCTTGCTGCAGTGAGGTCACGCCTT